ATGTCCACTATTTCCCTGCCTGAAGCTGGGACAGAGGGAGGGGTGGGGATGAACAATGCCATCCTTGGGGTACTTATTCTCCAGAGGGCAGGCTTGGGTTGGATGGGGCAAAAGGTCTGGGACAAAAGTTCTGGGACAAAATGGAGGGACTGAAGTCCCTGCCTTGCTCAGAAGGAGAGGTATAGAATAGGGGCCTGGTTAGAGGGCCAATGGGCAGAGTGGGCAAAGGGAGGCGGGCTCCCTGGCCCATGTGGCTACGGCTGGGCAGAGCTGCTTTGGCTGTGGGCTCTTGGAACTGAACTAAACAGGCAGGCAGGTCAGGAACAGTCTCTGTCCTCTAGCTGGGCACCAAGAAGGGACACTTAACTTCTATGATGAGGACTAGTGATTAGGCCTGTCACCAACCTGTACTGCCTGGCATTCCTCACCTTCACCATCTCCAGAAAGAAGCCTTCACATAATACCCTGGGTTCCTGCAGGCCCAGGCCTGAGAATAGCTCAGGCCTACCCAGTTCACAAGCACACACGCATACTCACTGCCGAAGACACAAAGGAGCAGGACCTGCTATTTCCTGTCAGTGGGGCCCCTGGGAGGCCCAACCTATTGTTGCCCGGGTGAAGGTGCAGTATAGACACCCAGTGGCCAGAATGTAATAGGGAGAGGGGGCAGCAGGGAAAGGCCAGCCAATGATGCTGGGATCCCAACCCTCCTGGCAGAAGGGCTTCTAACACCTCCATAGCAGAGGTGCCGTGGCAGGGACCACATATAACCATAAACACAGTGCACTCAACCTGAACTGAGACACAGTTAAAAAAAAAAATGTAGTGCTGGCATTGTCATCCAGAGGTAGCACTGTGAATATTTACTAACTAGGTAAAAACAAAAATCAAAATCTAACTGCTATGTCCACATCATGGGATACTACTTAACAGTAAAAAGGAACAAATGAACTACAGGCTGGAATAACCTTGATCCAAAATGCACGGGACAGAACTGTTTTGGATTTTGGATGATTTTGGAATATTTGCAAATATTATATCTTGGGTACCTGACATAAAATTCATTTACATTGCACTTCCTACACAACTTGAATGTAATATTTTTATGAGACCTGTGTTTTGCTCCCACCACTGCTCTTGTCCTGAAGATTGCACCCAGGGTCTCATGCATGTAGACAAGTCCTCTGCCACTGAGCTACGCCCAAGCCTGGTATCTGTGTCCATTGTTTCTGGTTTTCTTTTTGAGACAAGGTCTCTCTATGTAGCTGCTCTGGAACTCTATGTAGAGAAGGCTGGCCTTAAACTCACAGAGATCCTCCTGCCTCTGCTTCCCCAAGTGCTGGGATTAAAAGCATGCACCTGGCTTAGAATCTGTTTTGACATGAGGTCAAAGGTAAAATTTTCCACCTTTGGTGTTCATGGTGCTCAGAAATGTTTTGGGTTTGAGGCACTTTGGATTTTGGAATCAGGGTGTGTGTGTGTGGAGGGGGTGAGGTACAGTATGTGTGAATTCGTACTGGTTCACTCAACAACTTAGATAAAGTCCAAAGGAATCCTGCTAATAGAAAAAACAACCCTAAAATGGTCATATACTATATGATTCCATTGCTGATCACTGGTAAGGGGGTGGGCAGGTGTATGTGTGTGTGGCTGTATGGAGACATGTGGGACAGTCTTAGGTGTGGTTCAGCCTGTGTTTGGGATTGAAGTGATGTCATCATTATCAGTGTGACATTGTGCTATGATACAAGACTTTGTCAGTGGAAATGGAAATGGGAAAAGGCAAGGAATCTCCCCTTCCTTCCTTGCTTCCTTCCTTCCTTCCTTCCTTCCTTCCTTCCTTCCTTCCTACCTTCCTTCCTTCCTTCTTTCCGTTGTTTGTTTTTGCTTTAGACAGGGTTTCTCTGTGTAGTTCTGGCTATTCTGGAACTCACTGTATAGACCAGGCTGGTGTCAACTCAGAGATCCACCAGCCTCTGCCTCCTGAGTGCTGGGATTCAAAGCAAGTGCCACTACTGCCCAGCATCTCTGTTATTTCTTACAACTGCAAGTAAATTAGCAGTTACCTCAAATGAAAAGTCCAATTTAAAAATGAGCTGCCAGCATGCATGAACCAGAGAGACTGATGTTAGGCACAGCTGGTCTTACAGTTACGCATAGTCACAATCACCAGGTCATGATCCTTGCATCCCCACATCACTGTGTTCACAGAGGTCCACTCTCCCATCTGTATGACCTGGCACACTCTCACCCTAATCCTTGAACCCAGCACCTTGGAACTCTATAAGATTGTTGCACAAAAGTGGGAGCTTCTGGTTGCTAACATAGTTGTAAAACACTGGCCTGATCCAACCTTTGCATTACACCAAGAGGCTCAGAGATGTCCACACAAGTAATTCAAAGCCACACAGAAGTTCAACAGTGAAACTACCATCTAAGTGCTGAGCCGTTCCCCCTGCCACATATCCACCTCTCTAGGGTTAGGGTGAATGGGTGAAAGAAGTATGAGCAAAGGCCCTGTGGCAAGGCCCACACAGCCCTGCAAGCACTCACGGTCATCTCATAGAGACAAAGGAGTTGAGAAATGAGACATGGCCAGTGAATTTCCAATATAAACAGAGCCCACTGAGGCTCAATGACAGTTTGTCATCAGTGCTCAATGATAAAGTGAAGGACAATTCTAGAACCTCTATGAATCTAGCAAACCTACTCTGTTTGATACTGTGGGGAAATTCCTGGCTAGCCAAAAAAAAAAAAAAAAAAAAAAAAAAAAAAGACAAGAAGAGGCATGCACTGAGAGGGGAGATTGAGGGGAGAGCAAAAGACAGGGAGGAGGCCTTCCGGGTCTGCATAGACTGTGGTGCTTGGATGTCCCAGTGTCTCCAGCTGTGGCTTTCAGACTTGCCAGCATGCCAGAATACTTGGGGCCAGTGTGGGAGGCCAAACAAGCAGGGTGGGAGCTGTCATCAGCCCACAGGATGGATCAGCAGGCCCTGGGGCTCAGCCTCTAACTCTGGAGTCAGGGTGTGGCTCTGACCACCGAGAAGCAAGTCCCCTTAGCAGTCTGAAGGCAGTACATGAGGGACAAATGTGCTTTCTTCTGCTCACATGGCCACTTGAGTGAGTGAGCCTAGGGCCCCAGTGACTGCAGACTTACTTGGCACTTTATTCCTGAGCATAATGGAACTAGGGCATGTACAGCCTCTACACCAGAGCCCTGGGCTGCTGGGATTTGGAGACATGGAAGCCTCTGCCTATGAGAGCAATCCTCAACAAATTAAAGCCAGGAAAAGAGAGAGACAGAATCAAGAGGCTTGCACCCTCTGGTTCTGGACTGGGGCAGGGGCGGGGTCTTCTGAAACAATCTGGAACCCTGAGAGGGATGGCCTGGGGTTGAGGAAGGAAGCAGGCTAAAGAAAGCCTCTTCTTGGGAATCTCTTGCCAGATTTTCTTCTGAGGAAACTCTATGGCAGTGCCTGCTAATGTTTCAGGGAACAGATCTGACCTCCTTCTACTGACACCCCTTTCCTTCTAAGCATGAATGGCTGATGATGACGAGGCATCAGCTGGGCATGACTAGTGTGCATACTGGACAGAAGAAGAGCATAAAGTGACAGAAGAGGTGACAGAGGCCATGAAGGAAGGATGCTGTGTCTTGTAGAGGAGAGAAAAAAGCCTCCAGTTGACTTCCTGATAGAAAGAACTTGGGGTGTAAGCTGTTTACTGTGTCAGGGAGGTGACACAAAGACCCCTCTATTGAGTCATTGCTCCCTGGGACATCTCTGTGGGTGGCTTCAATGAAGAGGATGGGAAAAACACAGAAACAGCATGGAGGGACAGCAGAGCACAGGAGGAATGGAGAGCTGAGACCTCAGTACACATAAAACAGCTGGTTCTCCACAGCTGCCTCTCCACATCTGAGCTAGACGCAGCATCATCATAGTTGGTGCTATTTGGTGCACCCGAGGAGCTAAGAGGTTAAACACATTTCCGGAACTACATACCACCCTTAACAGGGCTGGGAGGAGCACACTCCCAGCCAAAAAGTGGGAGCAGCTCGGGTTGGCAAAAATACAAGTTCAACAATCAAATGCACATGGAGTACCAGCTGGCCCCAGAACCCTACTCTTCTCGAGTTCTGTGGCCACCATGTGTGATTAGCAAGTACAGAAAGCTTGGCTCAGGGTAGAACATGCCTTGGAGTCCCAGACCCTCCCAGAGAGGCCATCACAGGTCTCACTGGCCCCAGACAGACTGTCCAAGAAGAACATGCAGATGACATCCTCACTACCAGGTGCAGACAGATAATCACACAGGCCCCATGCCTCACCATGGAAGGCCCTGACAGGTTCCAGTGGGTTTCAACACAGCCATGCCCCATTCATGCCCAGGGCTACAGCTTCCAACAGGGCACAGGCAGTAGGCAAGTGGTGATGGCCACAGACTTGCCACTGACCAGGAGACCATGCCCTGAGATGCCTAGCCCTATACAAGCCCCTCCTTGTGCCGAGGGCTTGTACTTCCCTGCAGCAGCTGTTACACCTTGAGCAGTTTATAAAACTGGTTCCTCAGTGTATGCACGGGCCGGTGAATCTAGCGGTCAGGTATGCATGCTTAGCCTGGCCCTCTGTGTGCCTGCTCAGAGTGCCAAGCCTTCAGACTCACAGGGGACAAGCCCAAAGATGAGTGTGCAGGTGAGGTGTTGGCTCACTGCCCTTACAGGGAGAGATGCCCTCATTCTCCAAAGCCCAGCGAAGGCCAAAGCAGCCCTGCCCCTGCCCAGGAAGGGAGCCAGGAGAGCCTAGGTTCCTCACACCTTTGTCTACCCCACTGACCTGGGAAAGCCACCCAAACCTGCATCTGCTGGAGCCCTTTAAGGGCTGAGCTTTTCAAATACATGAACATGAAAGGTTCTTTCCATGAGTCATATGGCCTGGGAGCTACCAGGGGAGGGATGAGGTTAGAAGGCAAGGCCATGGAACCCAAGTCTAGGCACCTACCTTGACCTCCGCAGAGCTTCTTCGTCAGGGTCTTGCACTGTGGGAAAAAGAAGTTGATCAGGAGGACTCACAGTGAACATAGGAAGAAAGTCCACTAGAGCTTTGAGGACAGTTAAGTCCCCAGGAATCAGCCAGGCCCTGAACACTTCCTGCACCGTCTTGTCAGTGGTGTCCATGAGAGTGTGCATGCCAGGCCTCTGCCAGGGGGAGCTGAGAGGACACAGGGCCCTGGGAGGGAGTGGTCCAAGAAGGCCTGCAGGTCCTCATCTCCTAGTCATGAGCCATCATCTTGCTGGAAACTGTGTGACAAGGCTTCTGCTCATGTTTGGAGTTAGGGGTTAAAACGGAAGGCCCGCCTAGGAACCCAGAGGCTCTTTCCTAGCTAACAACTCTCCATCGATGTTAGTTAATCATCAAGGGCAGGTGGCTTGACTCCTCAGCTTGGATGGGCTTTAAGATGGCAGGGGCCAGGGCCACTCTGTCTCACCCTTTCCCCCAGGCCCACGTCAACTCTTCCACTCACTGTATTCTGTCCCTGTCATCTGGGCCAGGATGCGGAAGGAGCGGGACTGCAGGTTGGAGGACCGGCGGGCCCACTCATCAGCCTCATCTTCTGGCTTGCTTTGGTTTTTTATCACAGCCTGGTATACCGGAGAGGCGCTGTCCACAGCCAAGTCTTTCACAGGGAGGCTCCTGTAGGGCAGAAAAGGGTGTGGGTGGAGGCCAGGCTGGAACTCAGACCCCCCCCACCACTGTGTCCCTCCCCCACACCTGTACCCACTGTTTTCACCCACTATTATCAGAAGAGCTGAGACGCCTGGGATTTCGGTGCTCAGGGGTTCAGAGGTCAGGGAAGGCCCAGTTGGACAGTGGATCTTCTTGCTCATGAGGTTTCTATCCTTCTAGTTGGCCCCATTCCAGTGCTAACCTTGGGCCTGAACAGGTTCCCACCCCACATGCTGGAGTCCCTTTAGGGAAGGAGGAGGTAGTTCTCCTTGTAGTGCTTTTGGCTTCCCTGAGCCAGCTCTGCAGGGGGGATGTTGAGAACAGCCTGCCTGAGGGACCTGGAGGCCTGCTCAGGACCTATCCAATGGCCTCCTCACACCCACAGATCCAGACAGGGAGCTGCCAGTGCCTTGTTGCTGGAAGATGCCTGGGGCTTCTGGCTCAGCTGCAGGAGACAGCCTGGCTACAAAGTGTTATGAGAAACAAAGCGGGAAATTTTGCTCGGCACTGGCATGATCTGCATGGACAGTGGGGGCTATAGCTGGGGACAGAGGCAGGGTTTGGAATAGGCTGCAGGCCTGGTCTCTCCCGAAAAGCAATATGGTCTTTTGAGGGGAACCTGCTGATATTCCCTTAAACTCCGAGGGTCTGAAACATAGTAGGTGCTCAAAATTCTTAACTGAATGAAAATTTCAACTGCAGATCAAAGCCAGCAGGGATCCTAGAGCCTCTCAGGTGCTAGAATTTCCACCTGACCAGAGTTTTATAGATCAGACTGTGGATCTGTGTTGCCCAGAAACCTCAGATGTCAGAGGTGCTCAGCCCAGGCCTATGGCAGTAACAGCCTGCTGGCTAGTCCTTTCCTCTAATAGATGTTGAAACTGAGGTTCAGAGAGGTCAGCTGACCAGTGCCAGGCTATAGTGGACAGGGGCAACACTGAACGATGACTTAGGTGGTCCAGCCCTTAGCCCAGTGTTCTTTTTGTTCCTTGGAAGCAAAGTCTTGTTATGTAGCATGCTCCATTCTCCTGAGTACTGAGATTATGTACCACCTTTCCTGACTGGCCCACTGTCCTTTCTATCAGGTATTTTATGATCAAGAGGCTCAAAGGCCACGTCTGGCTACCAGGGACTACACAGATTAGATACTCTGACCACATGGAGAACAGCCCAGTTGGGGTATGTCTTAGCTCACACCCTGCTGCCTGACTCCATCTGCCCCAGTGGGCACTAGCTAGCTGAGACAGGATCCCCCTGGTGCACAAGTCTTTGACTTTTACAAGGAGCTGGATAGAATCGGCCTAGTTTCCCAGGATTGGTTCCTTAGGCTCTTCTCAGGGTGAGTTATGAAAGCACAGACAGAAAAAGGATAGAGGGTGGTGGCCCTCCTGCCACTTCCCTAGAGAGCTAGATTGTGATTGTGATCAGTTCTCTGGGGTCCATCCAGGGAGAGGCTCACGGCTGTTCCACAAGCAAAGACTGGGTTCTTGTTCTTCATGCAGAAAGCCGTTTCTTGTATAGGAAAGATTCTAAGGGTTCCTGAGGTCTTTGGGAACAACCAGATCTTTTTGGTTCTCGCAGGTTCTGGGGACTGGCTTCCCAAAAGAGTAGCCTTTGGCTTTGTCACCTTCTGGCATGGAATAGTAGCCCAATGTGCATTCTGACCCCCCAAGAGTGCCATGTCCCAGGGAAGCTAGGAAAGACTGGGAAAACCTCACCAAAGCATGGCCAGGAGAAGGCAGGAATGAAGCCTCAGGCTGGGCACACTGTGAGTGCCACGACTAGATTTCCATAGCCACATTGACATAGGTGGTCTCCAAAAGACAAGCAACTGCCTGTGTAGGCTGCAGAGGATGTCGTGTGGCTGAGAGGTAGATGTGAGGGAAAAGGTGGACAGAGCGCATGGGCTGACCACTTGTTCTCAGACACATCCCACCAAGCCCACACACCATCCTGCAACTAGACAGATGACAAGACAGACACTGCGGGTCTACTTACGCCAGCGGCGACGCCCTGCCAAGCAGAAGGTAACCCAGCCGCGAGTGCGAGTGCGTGTCCATCATGGGATAGCAGAGGGGCAGCGCACACAAGAGAGCGGGGTTAGGACCAGAAATGAGTTAGGGGCGTGGGATGGATGAAGGAAGAAGAAAGAGAGAAAAAGAAAACTGTCAGTGAGGAAAGAACCGTGGAAATTAACAGCAGAAACGGAACACATTATGGCCAGGAGGGTTCCTCACTGCGCCATAGCAGCGTCAGCTCAGCGCGCTTGAGTTAAAAGGAAGGGGAAAGGTTGACCCTTTCCAGGCACGCTAGCAACAGGAGAGGCAGGGAAGGGAAGGGAACAGGTGAAGACAGCTAGATTAATCGACAGAGCACCGTATTCTCCAAGTCACAGGTACCCTGATAGCAAAAATCAAATAATAGAAGCTTTCCCAGTGGGCAGAAAATACAGTGAAATGAGTACTTCATCCTACTTTTAAGGACACACCAAGTACCATGTGACAAATGTTAACAGGAAATCCCATTGGCCTTTGGATTTAGTCAGGCAGACCTGTTTTTCTGGGTATACATGAGCTAATGGTTGTTTTAAAAAAAATTCAGGTCATTTTTTTTTTTCTTTGAATGAGTGACTTAAGTAAATCAACACAGCCCAGATGTCTGCAAAGCGCTTCCTGCTGTCATGAACTCTGCAGGTTCGGACTAATGATTGCAAAATGGACAACCTCCGCCCCCTGGTGGTCAATAGCAAGTAGTGCCTCTTTGAGCCGAGGTCAGGACGTGTAGCTTAGGTAGCTGGATGCCTTATCCTCTGGCCTCTGCAAATACACCATGACCACACGTGCTTGTCTTTGTCCCATGGAAACTGCCTGGGACATTTCTGTGTCCCTCTTACCGTATCTGCTTTTATAGTTACAGAAAAAAGTTTAATGCCCCCTTAGACTTTTTCTCCTGAGTTGCTGGGAATTTCTGATCCAGGGATAATATGTTGCCTAGAGAGGTAAGCTCTACACTATGACATTCCCAAGCATAAAGTAATGACCTGCTCCCGTCACCCCCATCACCATGTGTGTGCATATGCATGAGTGTGTGTGTGAGTATGTAAACAGATGAGAGACAGATAAAAACAAGAAACAACAATAGAGAGGAGAAAAGAGACAGAGATACAGAGAGATGAGAGATATACAGGGAAAGAAAAAGACAAGATAGAAATGGGGGGTGAGGAGAAGATAGAAGAAGAGAGGATGTTCTGTTGACACTTGAATAGTACAAGTTTCATCTAAGTTTCTATCAGTTCTGTCCCTGGTCCACCCTCAAATTCCCCAACCAAGCTAATAAACCAATCCCAGGAACCAAGAACATTTTAAACCCCACTACTCTGAAGCCAAGCTTCCTGGGGCAAAGAGGAGAAGTGCCCATCATGAGGTTGACTGCCAATAGTACCTTGGATAGCTGGCCCGAGGCCTCTTCCAATAACAAACTCACCAAGTGCTGGATGCATACCCATCACTAGGGGAATAAGACTGTTTCCCCCACCCCAGGGTGGCTTTAGTTATAAGAGGCCCTGGGAGTCTATTGTGCTCCTTTAAAACACAGCAGAAATCTCTAACCAGACCCTCTCATGAAGCCCAGGAAATGCTAAGTCTGACAATCCCTTTGATGAAACAGAACATTCTGCGTTTTGCCATTTCTCCTACAGCTGAGCACAGGGCAGACTCTGAAGAGAGAGAGGGCAACACATCCTTGAAGTCCCTGGTGAAGACTGGTCCACCCTCTCCAGGGGCCTGAACCCAGGAGGCGGTAGATGAGAGAAGAAAGCTGGTCCTGTTAGGGCTCGGTACCCTCCGCAGGTAGGCATGTGATGTTGGGAGGCGCTTACCCACTGAAGTCACTGCCCTGGGCCTGGGCCTGCCCAGCAATGGCATCCATGATGGCATCCTGCGAGTACATGCTGATTGGGGTGTTGTACTGCGCGTGGATGATGGTAGCCTTGCCGCCCAAGCCCTTCACCTCAATGGGCTTGTGGGTGGACAGGGCTGAGTCCTTCAGGGCACTGGGGTTGAAGCGTTCCTGGTAGTCGGCGCTGAGGAGGGCAGGCAGGAAAGGTAGGGGGTGGAGGAGGGAAGAGGAGGAGAGAGGGCAACAGGTGATGATGATTACATGGGAAATCAAGGTCAGGGTGCTGGTGGGAATGTGGAGAGAGAGATCCCCCAAAGCTGAGGTCTTGACCCAAGTAAGTTACCCAAGTTCCCCCACTGTGGGCTGCCTGGGTGTAGCCAGGAAAATTCTTGGCACCACCCACGACCCTGTGCAGAAGATCTTTCATGTCCACCCAAATCAACTCTCCCAGTAAACTTTCAGGCTCCACTTCAGCCTGAACTCCCTCTTACAGTCTGCAGGGGTACCAGGTGTGGTGCACACTCCCACCACACACAGCAGGATGGAGAAGCAGACACAAGAGGTTTTGGGGGAGTGGGACTCGGGAAGAGGACAGAAGCTGGGCCATGTGACAGAAGAGGCAGCCACACAAGCAGAGTCTAGAATGTTCCAAAGGCGAAAAGCGGTCACACTGGGCAAACTTGGAGATGCTGAGGTTCTAGCAAAGTTTTTCCACGAAGGGGCTTATCCTGCTGGTCATTCCTCTGTGGCCTGGGACTCTGGTCTTCCAGATCTTTCCATGCATGTACTTGTTCCTTGGAGGATGGCTCAGGCTGCCCAGCCCCTCCCCCTCAGTCCAGCATGCTGTAGCTTGCCAGCCTCTACCCATCCAGGTTCTTTCCTTTAACAGGTAGATGCATGCTCAAGCAGAGATAAAATCATGTGTAGTCCTTCTCAGGGGTCCCAGTGGGACAGAAAAGTCTTCAGACCCACACAGGCCAGTGACAGTGCAGCACTCCCACCCCCACTCCTGAGTTAACCTGCAAGCCTTAAGCTGCTGGAGTGGGAAATGGAGAGCAAAATGGAGACCATCACATAGATACCCATCCCTTGCAATGGTTTCCCTCCATACTCCAGCAAACACCCGTGCAGGCTCATCCAGGGCACAATGCACCCCCACTCACACATGCGAATATGTACACATGCCGACAGGCACACACCATCCACATCTAACAGATGGCAGGTGCATGCTGGAATGGCACACAGGGACACACACACATGCTGTCCTTGGATACTAACTTGGCTGGAGAATTGGCTACCACCTGGAAGGAGAGAAAAAGCAAAGAAGATAGAGCAGTCAGAGTGAGACTTCTACTGGGGAAGCATGGATGTGGGGACCATCTTCAGGTCATGAAGGAGGCTGGACTGGCAAAACCTCAGGCTGAGGAGTAAGAATTGAGGAAGAGAGAGCATAGAACGAGGGATCAGAGTCGCTAGAACCATTGGTTTTGGTGGGAGGTACCAGGACTCTCTCTATGGTGGGCCCCAGCACTCCCAGCTTTGCCAGGGGGAAGGGATTTCTTGTATGTCTAGGAACTGCTATATAGGTATGTGAATCACATATGTATAACCTGGCTGTAGACTCTGAAGAGAGAGCTGAGATAGACACATGACTACTGTGGCTGTTTCAAGAAGGCCTGAGGCCCCAACTTCCTTCTGGCTAGATTCTCCAAATGTGAAAAGCCACAGCTTAGCCCTGTTTATAGGGACAGCTTATGCATTCATGCCCCACGGAGACATTGCAGTGCTGTTGTGTGTGCCACAGGGTTACCCATGGCCCCTGGGCCCTATTCTCTCTCCCAAAGAACAAGCAGGCAGCCCTAGTCACTCCTCCTGGAGCAGGGAATAGGAGGTTGACTCAGTCTCCAGTGACTGCTCCAAAGGCCTTGTGGGCCAGCAATGAGGCAGGAGGAGGCCCAGGAAGAGTGCATGTCCAAGGCTCATGCAGGAAAGCCCTCAACAGGGGCCACCTGGCATAAGCAGCACCGAGGGACACTGTCCTCACTCTGATAGGACAATGAGACTCTTGGATATGACCTTCTTTGGGGAAGTATTGTCTGATGCTTTAAATGTAGATTGCCTGTGATGGCAGACCCCGTGGCCCTGTCTGACACTCCAGATGAGAGTATGGAGGGGAGTGGACATTGTCTCCAAATACATCTGCTTTCCTAGATTTGTTCACTACGAACTCTGGAAGAGAGAACCTCAGTTATCCTGGACCTGGTCACCCCACAACCAGGGTCCTGGGAAGCCAAGAACTTTCCACCCCAGAGATCCAGTGCTATATCTACTCAGGCCCAGGTCCCCTACTGTCTCAGAGCTGATAAAATTCCTCCTGTCCTTCCATGCTCAAAATAGCCACAAGTGGATCTATATTAGGAAAAGACCAGCTTGGCTTTGCCATTTCTTCTCCATGTTTGGCCAGTGCTGACAGCTGCAGGGTCAGCCCTTGTGATGACCAGCTAGCCCAGTGTCCCCTGCAGAGGGCAGTGTTGACCTGATTGGGTGGGGGTTGCTCCTGCCCTGTGCGGTAGCCAACTCCTTCTTTGGCACTAATACCCCACCCCCCAAGGTTCTTGCTCCATCCCAAGGCTTGGATGTCTGCAGTACACACAGCTCAGAGAGGGTCTAAGACTCAGATCTCAGAAGGAGGCAACAGGATGCTGTGCCTGCTCAGGAGCCCTTGCTCTGTGGGGCCACTGAAGGCTGCCTTTCAGAGGAGCAGTGGGCCGGTGGATTTATTGGGCCTTTCTGTCCTTGTTCTCCACTGGTTCCCCTCCACGCCTCCCCAGAGATCCAGTTGCCAAGAATCACATCACAAGATGCTCAGAGGAGAGCAAGGAAGGAGCTTCCTTTTGAAGCGTTACAGGTCAGAGGTCAATTCCTAACCTTGAATCTTCTCAACATTATGACTCTGGGCAAGTTCCTCCATCTCATCCCTATTCATAAGAAGGAAGTGGGGGCACCAGAGAAGATGGAACCATGGTTAAGAGCACCAGCTGCCCTGTAATCAGAGTTTGATTCCCAGCACCCATGTGGCAGCTCACAGTCATCTGTAACTCCAGTTCTAGGGGATCTGACACCTTCTTCTGGTTGGACACAGATACACACGCAGACGAAACACCCTCACATATAAAAATAAAATTAAAATAAAAATATACAGCTGGGCGTTGGTGGCATACGCCTTTAATCCCAGCACTGGGGAGGCAGAGGCAGGAAGATCTCTGTGAGTTCGAGGCCAGCCTGGTCTCCAGAGTGAGTGCCAAAGCTACACAGAGAAACCCTGTCTCGAAAAACAAAAACAACAACATAAAAAAAAGAGGAGGTGAGGGTTTCTACCCCACAGATGGGTTATACCAAGTAATTGTACCCCCCACCCGGTCTAAGCCTTCAGCACAGGATGCATGCAATAGATGGACATGGAGAACGGCTAGCCCTGTTGATTTCAAGCAGTTAGACACTTAGCAAAGTGGGGGGCCTCAGCCCAGCGGAGGCCTCAGCTCTTTCCACCTACAACTGTCAGCACCAACAGCATCAGGTTTTATTTTGAATGAAACACCAAGCTCACTTCTCCTCAGGCCCCCCTTCCCATTGAGGGTACTGTTGGATCCTGCTTCTCCAGTTATCAAGTGATAATTCCTACATTTACCAAGTAGACTTCTGGACAGCATCTGCACCAAAGAACTGGCACCTGAGAGTCAAGAGGTATGTGTGGGGGAGTAGGGACAGGACCCCTGATCTCCTAGCTTTTTCTGTTTCATCTCAAGTTAAGATAGAATTGGGCAGCTCGAGTGCTAGTTCTGTCTGCCTCTTACTGGCTATATGATCAGGGTTGGGTCGGTTTCACACATATCTTTCACACATATTTTTTGTTTGTTTGTTTGTTTGTTTGTTTTTTTCTCAAGACAGGGTTTCTCTGTGGCTTTGGAGGTTGACCTGGAACTAGTTCTTGTAGACCAGGCTGGTCTCAAAATCACAGAGATCTGCCTGCCTCTGCCTCCCAAGTGCTGGGATTAAAGGCATGCATCATGTATCTGACTTGTAAGGTGAAGGAAATCAATGCCCACTCCTGAAGTTATTAACAAAGCCAGTTCCTATGGGGCTGGAGAGATGGCTCAGCAGTTAAGAGCACTGGCTGCTCTTCCAGAGGACCTGTGTTTGATTCTCAGCACCCACATGGCAGCTCATTACTCTCTGTAATTCTAGTCCAAGAGGATAAGACAGTCTCTTAGATATGCATGCAGGCAAAACACCCATACACATAAACTAAATTAATAAGAAAAGAGCCAGTTCCCAGCTCAGAGTAAGAGCTCAGCCATGGAGATGTTGCTATCACTCACTGCAAGTGGGACTTCCAGGGGTCCCAGTCAACAAGAAGGAAATTTTCTTGCCTGGGGTGGGTCCAGAAGGGACCAAGAAGACCTACCTACCCATCAGAGGTAGGAAAAGGAGGCCATCTTTATTCTGCCATTCCTAGAATTTTCTGCTTCTTTGCTGGGAAAACCTTTGCTTAGGGAAGCCATGATGTGCTAGATACTGGCCTTGCTCAGATTCCAGGAGCTAGGGAAGTTGAGAAACTAGAGAGCTCTAGCCTAGTGGACACAGAAGAACAGAGGAGGGTGTGGCTGCGGCCACGCTGATGGGACTCCTATGTTGTTGACTCTTGACTTTCATCTGGAAGACTCTAGGCAATGAGTATGTAGTGAGTGTGTGACAAGTGCCATTGTCTTTATCCTACCAGTAACTGAAGACAACCATGTGATTCCTCTTACTGAGACACTGGGCTACAACGCCTCAATTCAGCTGGCTGTGCCTTTAGTGCCTAGAGATAAGAACACCCATTGTACAGGACAGTAGCAGAGTCACCGTGAGACAGGAGGGAAGAGAGACCTGACAGCTGATACGTGCTCATATGTGGATCCCTCCTTTCTACCCTTCCAGTAACCTGGCTCCATGCTCCTTCAACTCCTACTCCCTTGGAGTCTTACTAGCTAGACCGTGGGGACCAGAGGTGGGTTGTTGTTTCCCACGACCCCTTTCTCCACAGAGTTCTACTTCATTGCAATCCATCCTAGCCTGGGTCAGTCCTGCAAATCTCCTCCCCTCATACCATTGCCCAGTCTCTCCATGGGCACTTCTGTCGATCCCTCCTCCAGGTAGCCTTCCTACACCACTCTCATCCTTAGAGAGTTTTTTCCTTCCTCCCTTCCTTCCTTCCTTCCTTCCTTCCTTCCTTCCTTAAAAAGGTCTCTGAATAGCTCTGGCTGTCCTGGAACAAACTTTGTAGACCAGGCTGGCCATGAACTCACAGATCTGCCTACTTCTGCCACCACTGCCCAGCTGAGAACTTACTCTCTTTTTCTAACTCTTCCTTGTTCTTGCCTAGGGACCCCAGGGATGTGGGGGCTAGTCTTTCTTTTAGACCTTTAGTTCCCAAAGGCAGTGGGATGAGGTGTGGCCTGGGGTGAAAATCTGGGGAGTCAGAGTCTCCTGCATGCAGGTTTAGCTCAGCCACATAGTAACTGGACATCCGAACCTCAGCTCAACCTTTTCTGAGCCTCAGTTTCTATTTCTGCAAAAAGATGACATGCCACTCCAGAGTGGTCATACAAAACAGTGATGTGTCTGGCTGACAGCTAATGTCAGTGGGATCCCTGCTGGTGTTGCTATCAGCTGATACTATCATGTGTGCAGGGCTGGCTGTGGTGAGGCCTGTTCCTCCCCTGACCAACTGACCAGGCTGTTGTAGTGAGTACCGATGACCCAGGTGGCTCCATACAAGACAGCAGTGTACCCTTTACCTACCCTCCTAGGAGTCCAGCACCTGAGGCCTTTCCTCGAAGGCTCATCTGATACATCTGAGCCATCTCCCTCAGAGTCTCTGCTGAGTACAGGCCAATGGGGTTGTTATATTGCCTTGGTTGCCTGGGGCCTGGCAGAACTTTGGGGCTGACTGAGCCCTGTGCACCCTCTGGGCTGGTCTTAGCCACTGGGCTGCCCTGAGGAAGGACAGACTCCGGGGCCTCCATGTGTGGGGTGCAGACAGAGGTCTGGGAGAAGGAGGAGCTAAAGGTGTCCCCGAACTCCATGGTGCCCGGGGTGCCTGGGCTGGCCCTCGCCTCAGGGCTGGGGCTGGGAGTCGCCAGGCTGCCGTTCGTGTCCAGAGCGGGGTCCTGACATAGGGCAGCACCATGCAGGGGAGAGAGAAGACAGTGGTTAGAGGACACACATGGCTGTGTTTCTGCATGGACTTGAAACAGATGTGTTAGTGTGAGCACCTGTAGCCCACCGCCCATAGTCTGCAGCTGCTGCATGAAGCACCCAGATGGGACACTACAAAGGAAGGCCCTCTGCAAGAGGAGCGGAGGAGAGAAACCTGTGGTTCCTGGTCTAGAGGCTGGCATCCATCTGGATAGAATGCAACGTCCCTCCCAGAAAGCCAGGCCTGCCCCGGAGGCTAAGAAGGAGGACGCAGGGCTCAGAGGAGAGTTAGGTACCACTATCCTGTCTGTTGGCCCCTTTTCCCTTTGAATGGGTACCCTGTGAGTGCAGACAAGCCTCCTGATTTACTGACCCAACCTAGAGAAGACCCTTCATAGCCAGGGCTGACTGACTTCTGGGGTGGAGGTACAGAGGGGAACCTAAGGAAGCAACTGGGCTATTTGGCCATCTCTGTCTACCTTAGCAGTTTCTCCCAGCAGCTCTCTGTCCAGCTCCCCAATCAATCCAGTCTATGACCCCCCCCATGAGTCTCTTCTTCCCATCTCACCTACTGTCCAATCTCCCCATGGATAGACTGTAGTCAGTCTACAGTTGTAGTGAGAGAGTGGGTAGAGGAGCTATGGGTAGGCCTTCCCAAGTTTATGTTAGGCACTTGGACCAGCCTTCCCAAGTGTGGGTTGGGCATAGGGTTCAGATGCTTAGAGAAGATTTGAGAAGGACTCTGGATCTAGTGGTGAGATTTGGGGCCCCAGTCTCTACTGCTCCTCACCACTCCTGTGCTAGCCTCTAAGACTATAACTAGCCTTCCTAATGGACAGAGGGTTCTGTAGCTGTGAGGGATGGGTAGACACTTAGAAACTGGAAGAAACTGTGTGTGGAGGAGAAACTCTGAGGGCCAGTAAGAGCCCTTCACACCCAGGGGTGTCTCCTGAGATGGCTGACTCAACATGGGGCCTCTTTGCAGCAACTCTAGTCTCAGTGTCCCCAGAAAATGAGGATCAGGGCCCTCTAGACAGTGCCTGTTTCCTGTCTGAATAGAATGTTGGCCCTCTTCTCAGCATACTTTTTCCAAACTGATTTCTTCTCAGAACAGCTACTGGGCCTGGGTTGGTATCTTGGACCCAGGTAGACATCCCCACAACTCGGTGTGCCATAGGTAAGGGGGCTCAAACACTTCTCCTAAGGGTCAGTAGGGGCAGGGGCAGGCAGGCAAGTTTATCCAGGAACCATGGATAAGTGGACCCCACTAAAGTGGTCAGCACCTACCTTCTGGTGGGGGATCACTGGCAGTGGGGACTGGATCGGGGGTGCTGTCGTGGAGATGGCAATAGGACGCTTGGACCTAGAGAAACCAGCAACAAGACCCAGTGAGGACATTTGTACCTGGCCAAAAGCTCCTGGGGGAGACCGAGAACTGGGCAGTGGAGTCACAGGGCCCAAATGCACATCAGCTCATGCACTAGGTCCCCTAAGGGTGGCGCTGGGCTTGACAAGGTAAGGATTCATAGCCCCAGGGGTTTTCATGTCTGCACTCATGGGCCTCTTCTGCATGGGGTGAGAGTAGGTCTGCCTGAGGAAAGGGGAAGCAGGATTTCCAGGTCCAGCCCTCCTTATACCTGTGGGACTGTGGCCATGCCCTCGGTCTAATCCACTTCCATAAAGCAAGGCAATGGTAGCTTGACAATAATTCCAGCCCATCCTTCCTATACAATTCTGTAGTATAGGGCTAGGCCCATGAAAATGCTGAGGACAATCTCTCTTTTGTCCTCATCACAGGCCTACACCAAACCTGCATCCCCTTCTCTGGCGGGCTTCCACCTACTTCTGCAGGGTGAGGCTCAGGTTGTAGCTGGCAGATTTGATCTTGTTCTGGGCCTCCAGGTGGGTCATAGTGTCTGTGTTGACGCCATCAATGGCCACCACGAGGTCTCCTTGGCTGAGCTGGGACTGGGCTGCCTTGCTGCCTGGAGTGATCTAGTTAACAACAGAAGAAGGGGTGAGTCAGGGAAGGATCACCTGTAGCAGCCAACAGATATCCATTATGCTGTTTATTCCCAATGGCAACACTGGCTGCTCACCAAGCCTGTTTGCTCTTCCTCACATGGCTTCCACTTCCTAGGACTTTTTGATGGCCATCAAGGTACCAGCTCTGACCAGTGGAATGCTGATAGAAGTAACACACATCACTGCCAGGTCTTCCCCCAGCAACCATCACTACAATACTGCACATTGCTTGTTGACTGACTAAATGCATAGGTTTGAGAGGACAGCCAAGTTGCTAACTGGAAGGAACTTGGATCCCAGAGTCACTACCTGGAGCAGAGATGGTATGTCAGGCTTCCTAAGTGAAGAATAAATTCCCACTGTGCTAGGCCATCGATATTTGGGGACTATATATTGTACCAGTTAACCTGTTACTCCTGCACTCTGCAAAGTCAACTTTCCAGTCCGAGAAATGAGGGAAGACTTAGTTAGCACCTCACTGCCCCAGTCATTCTAGTCATTGCCAGACCAAAGAACAGCATAAATGTCCCCCCACAAAAGCTTCCAAGCACTAGGTGCTCCATGCTTCCAGGGACAGGTACACAGAAAACTACCAGAGCCATCAGCTCTGCTTGGGTGAGAACAAGGCAGGCCGTGAAGTGAGTCAGGCTTAAGGCTCTCTGGCTACCTGCATACCTCTGGAAAGCAAAAGTATAATTATGAAGCTAATTCCTAATTCGTGTGCCCCACTGACATCCAAAAATATTTGTCTGGAGGCTCCATCTTTGATCACATAGAATGTCATTGACACTCTACTCTGAAAACACTTTACAGGATATAGGGAAAGCCATGGTGGCTCACATTGGACTTTCAATGACATCATACACAATACCAAATTTTATATGGCAGCCCCTTAGTAATAGTACTTTGAGTGTGACCCTATGCACAGTAATATCATCTGAGATTCAAACTTCCAGAAGGTCTAGTGACATAATTTAGAGTGGTTTGATGGAATGGCCATAGTGACATCAGCAGCCCTACTCTGAAAAACAGTTCGTGAGTTGTCACTAAAGGAGACTACTTTCAATTTCTATGACTTCCAATGGAATGCCTCAGTCTCTGATAATATCACATGGAAGTGTTCATTTTTGTCTCCACTATAAATTGTTACTGATTGAGGAGACAAGCAAGGTGGGACAATCTGTTAGTGTGTGGTACTTATGCATGAAAGTATTTTAGGAGCTGACCCTATGACAGTAGAAACTCCCTCTATGATACCAATGGAATGTGACACAGGCCATATCATCATAGGAAAGAGGAGGCTCTGAACACCACTCACACCATTGCCCATGGCTGGAGGCTGTCTCTTGGCTTTGTCCCCTTACATGACCACCAGTTAGTTCTCTTGGCATCTCTGGCCACATCCTACCCACCTTCCTGGCTCTGTCTATACCGAATGAATAAGACTGGCTATTAACACTGCCAGAAGCTGGATTTCAGTTAAGGTCTGGGGACCATCCTAGAAGGTGATCCCAGATGACCTGGGGACAGCCCCATGTTGCATGTGCCAAGCCTGTGTGGGTCTCTGGTCGAGCTCTGGGAAAGGATGGACGTCTCCTGCCAGGTTCCTTAAAGGGAACTAAACACACATCAAGACGCCCTGCAGTCATTGTGCCCAGAAAAAGAACGATTTTGTTGTAATCATATCACTGGTCCCAGAAGCTAGTCCTGTGCCCTGTGGGTGATGACAAGAAGACCAGAAGGACTCTCCCTCGCCAACTGCTATTCACCAGCCTTTGCATCCCAGATGTCTCCTTTTGTTTTCCTCCCTGAGACAAGGTTTCTCTGTGTAGCCTTGACTGTCCTGGAACTCACACTGTAGACCAGGCTGGCCTCGAACTCATAGAGATCAACCTGCCTCTTCCTCCCAAGTGCTGGGATTAAAGGTGTGCGCCATTACACCCCATTTCCAGTGTCTTCTCAACCACTGTTCACCTTGTACCCAGAAATTCCTCTTCTGGACCTCAAATGCCAGGCAAGAACAATAGAGAAATGAAAGCCTGGATGGCCAAGAAAACACAACTGATTTGCCAAGCCCACTCTCCAGATGCCATCGTAGAACCATTGTTATCACAGGGAACCCACGGTAAGAGAAGTGTGTTGCTGTCTTGAATGCAGAGGTGGAAAACACTGACAGAGACTGGGGAGATGGCTCAGTCAGTTAAGTGTTTGCTGTGCAAGTATGAAGACCTAAGTTTGAGTCCTGCCACACAGCTAAAAAACAGGGGTAGGTAATTTCTTGTAATCCCAATTGCTGGAAAGACAGAGACTGATGGATTTCGAGGGCTTTCTGGACAGATACCCTATCTGAATACGTGAGCTCCAGGTCAATGAGAGACCCTGTCTCCAAAAACAAGGTGAACGACTTCTGAGGCACAATACCCAAAGTTGTCTTCTTGTCCACACACACACACACACACACACACACACACACACACACACACACACCAGTGAAGAAAAAAAAACATGATGCATCCCTAGACAAGCCTCTTTCTGCTATGCAGAAAGTCCACCTGTCTTCCTTTTTATGCTGGGCTGTGCTATCTCTAATAACTCAAGATAGTAATCTTTAAGCTGAAAGAATATGAACACCCAATTTTTTTGTTTGTTTTTTGTTTTTTGTTTTTTGAGACAGGGTTTCTCTGTGTAGCTTTGGAGCCTATCCTGGCACTCGCTCTGGAGACCAGGCTGGCCTCGAACTCACAGAGATCCGTCTGCCTCTGCCTCCCGAGTGCTGGGATTAAAGGCTTGCACCACCAACGTCCAGCCTGAACACCCAATTCTTATCGTCACCATCCAACTATAATATTCCATTCTTCCACTTCAATCACACACCACTTTTACTACTCTCCATCTATCAGGCCATCTTGCTTTAGAAGCACTTCAAAGATAGATGAAAACATCCAGGGTAAAGTTTCCAGTGCCATGCTGTCCTAGTGGACTGCCTGTGTCCCACAGCTGGCTACCCTTTGATAGGACATTCCCAGAAAAAGATATCTCATAGTAAAGCTGCTCTGTGGTATGTCATCCCATAAAATGCTCTCCATAGCAGGAAATCACTACAGAAGGACACCCCCAAATGATTCTATCTATGGAAAAGGAATTGTTTCTTGCATCAAATAGTTTGGGGCAGAGTAGAGGAAAGCAGCTACCAATCTCACACAGAAGGATGGGGCTTCAAAGACAGAAGGGACACTGCCAGGCAGTATGGAGTGTTCAGAGCATGATAACCATGTAAGCAAGGGCACCAGAATGACATCCAAGAGAGGCTGGGCCTGATCAGCTAGTGCCAGCTGCAGGCCATCAGGAATGCCATGTCTTTAGAGCTGCCTGGTGACATATTTCTCCCTAAAGCACGGCCAACTTGTACTTATCCTTCCCTGTGCCTGGCCCTGTCTGATATCCTCAGGCATGGGCTGGGGTAATCCTTGCTCCAGGGGCCTGGTTAGTAGCCAAGCATTCCAGAGGGAGTCACCATGCTGGATCCCCCTGTCCCTGGCGTCGCTCTCCCTGCATCTGTGTCTGCCCATCAGGGCTCAGCTGGCCTGGCTTTTGGCTGCCCTAAGCAGGGCCCAGTGTCCCTCGACTGGTGGTGGAGTATTCACATGTAGGGAAATGTTCTTTTCTACTCAAGTGTCCTTAGAGAAGGAGACTACTTGAAGGCAGGGATGCTAAAGCCAGCCAAGGACCATCAGATCCCTTCCCCCCCACCACAGGAGCAGCTTCAGCTGGCCAGGGGAGGGAACTGGCACTGTTGGTCCCTTGCCTAGAGCCCAGGGCTCATGAAAAGTTTAGTTCACGCATCTCTTCTCTAACTTTACATTCTCCTTTCTCTGTTGCCTTTGTCTCAGAAAAGACTAGAAGCACACTCGTTCTTGGAGATATTTTCTTTTTAAAAAAGGTTTTCTATATCTTTTTGAGCATTTGAAATTCTCTTTGGATGAGTGTTTCATTTCTACCTAATTTTTCAATTGTTTCAAGACAACAGTCACCTTTTCAGTATGGATCTGAACAGTAAGCAGAGCCTAGAGAGGCCAAGGTCAAACTGGGTCAAGATCAGTCACTCGCCCCATGCTTGCTGGGCCATGACTGTAAGGAACCCCATATCACTGGTCCCAGAAGCACTGACCTTTACCTTGTGGGTGATTGCAACAAGACTAAAAGGCCCTCCCTTACCAACTGCTGCTCACCAGCCTTTGCAGTCCCAGGTATCTTCTTAAACACTGCCCACCCTGTGCCCAGAACATTCCTCTTTTACACCCCAAATGTGTAACCAGGCAAGGACAATAGAGAAATGAGTGCCATTATGGTCAAGAGGACACATCTGATTTGCAAGGCACAACCCCCTCTCCAGAGGCAGCACAGCTGATCCCATGGCCACTGTTGTGCCTAGGAGGAAGGCAACAAAGAAAAGCATGCGGACAAAGGTACGGATCAAGTTAAGCTTGCTTTGTTTGAAACTTCACACATTCCAGTGGTTGTCCAGAACACAGGGCCCTCCTCGGTCGTGTGTGAAGATTATGTTATCAAATAGGGTGTGCATGAGAATGCTAAGGAGCTGAGAAGATTTTGATGGAATCTCCGATCCAAGGGAGCTTGAGTTCTGGCCCCGACCTCCTTCTCCCTAGAAGCTTCAGAAAAGTCAAGGATAGCACTGGGGGACAGCAGGTATGCGATCAGTATGGCTGTACCCACACCTTCTATTCCTAGAAGGGTGTGTCAGGATAGCAGGGATTTTGTCCAGGATCTCAGGGAAACAAGGTGCCAGGCAGTGGTTCAAAGCTCCCAAGCCATGTCCTCATGACCCTAGCTCGGTTGGAAGCCGACAGGACAGCCAGCAGCCTCTCAGGGGCCCTTGGGCTCTACAGAAGTTTTTAGCATCCCTCCCCATATTCAGAAGCACATTGTGCAACTTGCCAGGTGCGATGCAGTTGACTAAAGACAGGTAACAGGCCTAGAAGGAGTGGAACCTTCCCATCCCCTTCTTCAAAGCTGGCAGGTATTCCCCCTGAAGTCCTAAGTGCATTTTAACTTTCTGGGATGAAATTACCACGTGCCGGGCCGGCTCTTTTCCCATCTGGCCTCCCTTGGGGTCTTGCCCCAGCTCTTGCCCTTTTTCTGGAAACTTCTGTCTCCCAGTGACCTCAACCTCTATTCCAACTCTAGCGTATAAATAAGCCAGGCTCTCCTATGCCCCGCTTTGCTTGTCCAAATAGCTCTTATTTCACCTTCTATGCTCTCAGAGTCCCCCCCAAAAGAAGTGACCACAGGTCCCTACTCCTCTATATCCCATCCCTTACACACTCAGATACCTGGCCTTGGTACCTAATTGTCTGCACATACCAATGATTGATGCGCATGTGTGCGTGTGCATGCTCGAACGCGCCTGTGTGTGTGTGTGTGTGTGTGTGTGTGTGTGTGTGTGTGTGTGTGTGTGTGTGTGTGTGTGTGTGTTGGGTGTCTTCTTCTGTGTGGATCCTGACACTGTTCCTCTCTGCTTCTCTAACAAATTGCCAGTGTTCTTGTGTGCACTTGGCCCTGGAAAATCTGCTTTATGCTTCCAAGGGTGGTTCCCATGAAAGTAGGAGCCTGGCTCTAGTAGAGTGGAAAAGCCGTGTTTGGGAATGGGAAGCCTGGAAGTAAGGACTGGAGGGTCTTCACAGCTGGGGGATTTCCTCCTGTCCCTGGTGCCTATAAACCCCTCATATGTGCTGTCTCCATAGTCTCCTGTCTCCCCATAGCATTTGCCTGCATTTCTGTTTGCCCATAGAGTTGCCCTTGGCTTGTGTTCTGGTTCAGGGACCTACAAGGGCCCCTCCTAGGACTTAGCAGGCCTCTGGCCTGCTTCCTTCAGGGCCTTTAAGGGGTCAGAGGTGAGTTTGAGCCAAAGGAGAACCTGGAGTGTTGAACCTCTAAGAATGCAGTCTCCAGTTATGACTGTTCCTTATCTTCACTGCTGGATAGCTAGATAGATGATTGCCTGACCTTCAGCAGTGCTATAAACAGCATGGTCTGTCAGCACTGATAGGTGCTGCCGAGAACAGCTCAAGATGTTGTGCTCCAGGGGCCTGGAGATTCCAGGAATTGCCAGCACAGCCACCCCCAGAATAGTTTCAGACTGTCCTCCCGTTCTCTTCCCAAGGGTCCTCTGCTCTCAGTGTCCCAACCTTAGCTGGGACAGTTCAATAATACTGAAACTGAAACCAGAGGAGAGGCAGAAGACTTCTGGACTATGGCCCAGGCAAGCCTGCCAGGTAGGATGGAGATTCTGAGAGCAAAGGTTTGCCAAGAAGGAAGCAGGCCTGACCCCACCCACAGCCCCTTTGCACACTAGCCTCATAGCCAGACTCATTTCCACACTTGTACTTTCACAGGTGTGCACAGCACTACCCCATTTTATACGCAAGACCCCTGAGGCGGGGCTAGAATGAACAAAGACACTTGCTTCTTTCCTAATGTGGAGGGTGCCACAGCCATGAAGGGACAAGGCCCCACACCTAGCCCCAGCATCTGGCGAGAGGCAGGGGTCCTGGTAAGGGTTGGACCTGTTGATCTCCTCCCTCAACTCTGCTCGCTGGAGAATTGGCTAAGGTGAGGGAGGGGAGGGTGAGAGGGAAGCTCAGGTTGCAAGCCTCTGCACCTGTCCCGGATAAATAAAGGCATTTGCCCGGACTGACAGGCAAAGGACTAGGCATGGGAGCTAGGCCATGCAGCACATGTGAGTGCTACCCATGGTCATCGCCATCCCGTGCAAGTCTTTGCTGGGCAATGAGCTGGTAACCCCAGACTTCCTGCCTGATCACCCCTCACAATTGCAGTGACTGCGAGTGGAGCAGGGGACTGCTGGAGATGGGCAGTGTCCTAATCCTGTCTCTGTGAGCAGAATGTTTCTGGTACAGAAGGTGCTTGTACACATTGGCAGCAAATACTGCAGGCCTAGTGTTCAGTGTCTGTCTTGCCATCAACACTGGGCCTGGAATGCCCAAGCCTGAGGTGCCAAAGCCCACTGTATCTGTGGCCCATTAGTTGCATTTTTCAGGAGACTGCAAGACCTGAACACCATTGCTCAGGCCACCCTGCTTTCAGGTGATTTGAGGTATGTATCAGAAATGAGCCAATCTCCCAATGGCCTGGCTTCTATTTTTAATTGTCTCCCTAGATTTAGCTTCCAGCACATCCCAACTGCCCCCTCTTTGATTGAGGACATTCTTCCTGCTGTCTAGTTTAAAGCCTCTGCACTGCCATTTAAGCCCTGGTCATCCGGGGCCAGGTGGTGAATAGGTCCTGAGTGAGGTCATTGGCTTTTCTGGGTGCCACTGATCCTGGAGATGAATTTGCTCCTCTTAGACAGAGCACGAAGCACCAGCAATGAGTCTTGGGGATGGTGGGCTCAATTCTAGGCATCCAATCAATCTTCCCTCAGAGGATGGTGTGAGAGGCCCTATCTTATATAGACAGGAAACCTACAGTCACAGGAGTGGGGATTGTGCAGGGTCTGGGTTGAGCATGGCCACTGGACACACATGGAGAATGTACATGGTTTAGGGTGTCCTCTTAATAGGGGCCCTGTGGTTTTCAGGGCAGTAGGTCTGGAGGACACAGACTTCAGATCTGCAGCTGAGAGATGAAGGACAATGTCCCCAAAGACCACTCTACGTGCCTAGCTTAAAAGTGATCTGAAGACCAAGACTGCTTCAGTAGAGATATTGGGCCCTGCTCCTCTGTCAAGCACTTTTCAGGCTTCCCCACTACCACTGAGTGCTAGCCCCAGGTCCAAGGCAAGTCTCTGCCACTCCATGGAAGAAACAGCAATCCAATTCTATCTGATTCCACCCTCTAACTTCACAGTGACATCCTGGAGTCTAACCCTGCCCCTTAAGCCCAGATCAGTTCTGCCAGGGGCTCAGCCACCAAGCAGGTTATACTTGTTCCATGTATGCTTCTCAGTAAGCCATGGGGCCTTCAGTCCCAGATCTACCAGGACTTGTGGGGTGCTTTATCTAGCAAATATTGAGCAGATAGCAACAGGCTATGGCAGTAGTGAAAGCCACACTTCTCTCTTCCTTTCAATCATATCTACTTTTTATCTCTGGGCCTCAGTTTATCAAACCCAATGGGAACCGAACTCATAACACATGACATTCAGTGCCATTTCCATTGGGCAGGGTTGTTTCTAACCACATACTACAGGACCCAGGGTCCATTTCCCAAGCCTAGCAAGAGCAAAGTCGTGAGACAGGCAGCCCTGGGCTCAAGTGAGGAAGACAGGCTCAGACCAAGAGCCAGGTGACATGAGGTTCTTGTCAGGCCCACTATGTCAGGGAGAGGAGGGGCTGGTGTCTTGGGTCCGGGGATACTGGAGACCAACAACCGGTCTAGCCTGGACTTATATCAAGATAGCAGGCAGCAGGGACAACAGTCTGTCCATCTACCTGTCTGTTACCTGCCTTCCTTACACTAGGAATACTCTTCCCTAAGCAACTGTCCACTTTAATGGAGGGACTCCAAGTTTGGGAATACTCCAAGCCTACCCTGCTAGGAAAGGGCTTAGGAAGGCCCTGTACTCTCTGCCCACAAGTTTACCCATCCTGCAAACTCAGCATTTGCTCCTCTACTCAAAATGCCAGCTATTTGCCCATGACATCTTGCTTAGATGGGCAAAGTCTAGAGAACAAGCTGGGGTGAGCAAATTCAGCTGTGGCCAAGATCAGACCAGTCCAGTCCTAGACTTCAGGCCAGGAATAGGGCAGGCTGTGCTTTCCAAGAGCCCTGGGAAGACAGACTGACAGACAGATGGACATGAGCATGCCCTCTTCCAAGAATGCCCTGCCCCTTTGGGAATAAGGCTAGGGACAATGTTCACTTACCCGGGAGATAGTGAGGGGCATATTGAAGTCCTTGCCTCCTTGCAGGCGAAAGCCCCAGGGCCCAGGCCCAGTCAGAGTCACACTGTAAGACATACTGGTACTGACAGCAGTGGCTTCCTCTGTAGACAAATAGCACAAAGAGTCAGGTAAGAGGACACTCATGCACCCCGTCTTTCCAGCCCATATCTGTGCTCCTATCTCTGTTCCTGGCCCCAGGACCCCCAACCCCTGGCCTTGCCTGCTATGTCCCTTGCTGCCTGGCCAGGCTGTGCAGAGCTCCTGGGAGACTCCTAAGAATAGCTGGGAGTGAATGCCATCGACACTGATATCTGCCCTTGCTGCGCCCATAAATGGACTGTAACCCAACACTGGGCCCGCCTGCCCGTGGCCTCTCAGCCACTCCACCATGACTCACACGGCTAATATAGTCCCTGGGAAGGGGTGTCAGGCACCCAGAACACCCTTCCCCAAGGGGCAGGCAAGGAAGACTGGCCCCTTTTGTGCCCTCTGCAGAGCCCACACACCCTTGTTCTAGTCAGTGGGCCCACTCTGAATCCTCCTCTGGGTAGGGGTTTTGCTGTTCTGTTGTTCCTGGTAAGGACCATGAGCTGGCACCTTACCCATTGTGGGGCCCTGTGGGGCCCTGGACTTAGCTTAGCCTCCAGCAGGTCTGAAAAACCTTTAGAGTGCTGATTGATTCCTGTGTCACTATTATGGGTCCAGACATAAAAATAAGCATGAAATGGCAGCACTTTGAACATGGCCAAGTTCAGAAAAGGGCCCTTCACACCAGTTTTCTTGGGGTCCTAAGAGGCTGCCACCTTGGATTATAAGAGCCGAGGCTCAGAGAAGTTAAACAAATTCTCCAAGGTCACACAGGGAATGGACTCAGGTCCCACTGGAGCCTGGGTTCATTTCAGTGGGACCCAAGTCAGATAATGGGCTCCCGGTGGCTATAGGCATCTTCCAAAGCCCTGGCCTAGAGTAGGGAGTGTGCTGTCTGGCCCCTTGGTAAAAGGTCTGAAGCCAGGTCTGAGGTTGTCCCACCCCTCTAGACCCTCTGGGGCCCAGGCAGTTATTCCTGGCTCTCCCATCTCATTTGTGCCCTGGAAAACTTGACAGCAGCATGGAAAGCTACAGCTGCCAGCGCTGCACGCCAGGCTCCATGCCCTTTGCGCAGGAATGACAGGGGGTAAGGGAGAAGTGCCATTTGTTCAGCTGCTAGGACATAGAGCCAGAGGGGCAGGGAAGGGAAGCATGTGCGGCATGCTTCAGTCTGTTCTCCAGAGACAGTGCACTCTGGGTGGGGGTCTTGGCCCCTTGGGGCTTCAGTCACCATGGTGTTTGTGTTAAGAGGCTCCAGAAACCCATCTTCCCCCAAGAGAGACTTCAGATCTCATGTTGTCTGGAGATAGATTGACGTTCACTCTGGCTCCCAGCTCGGGAAACTGAGGCTGAAGGTTGGCTTCTTGCTGGCCCCCTCAACCACACTAACCTGGAGGACTCAGTGCAGGCCGGGATGTGAGTAATTTCCTAGCTGCCACAATCCCAAACTACACCCTGAGCCTGCATCCATGATAAGAGTGTTGATGTTACAGAGTCGGTTGGCAATTTGCTCAAGGACACAAAAACAGCACAGGGAAGAAACCAGGGAGGTTTCTTGTGCTCTTTTTCTTTGTTTCACCACCTCCTCTTTGTACCAAGCAACTCCACTTTCATGGGCTAGGAGGTCAGCACCCCGTCCCTCTCCCATCCCGTCCTCTGCACCATCCCATCTATCCCTAACTCCATCCTTGTCCCCCAGCCATATCCATCCTTCTCAGCTGGGGAAGATTCAGACACACAGCATAACCAAAAAGAAAGGACCTGAAGCCCCAGCAAGGCTAATCTTGGACCTGGAGCCCCAGCAAGGCTAACCCTGGATCTGGAGCCCCAGCAAGGCTGACCCTGGACCTGGAGCCCCAACAAGGCTGTACCTGGAGCTGAAGGCTCTTTCTTTGGACTCTGGCACTGCCTGATGACTTGCTTCTGGATGAGGGAGGGGTAGTGAGAAGATGTTCTTAAAGGGAAAGGCCAGCCTCCCTCTGCTTCCCCTGGGAGACCCGAAGCCAGTTGGAGAGCAGCTGGTACTCATGGCTGGGCGGAGTTCCACACCTCCCTGGAGAGGAGGGGATGGGCCAAACTGGCCTTTGTCCCTCCTCTATTTTGCTCCTCTACAGTTTGAAATAGATTTTCAGGAGTGAAAAATCTTTAGGGAAAGGAGAAAGAAGTTGCTGGAAACATGGAGACCATGCCTGCTCTCTTCTCCACAGAAGCACCAGTAGACATGTTTATCACAGGAGACCTTGTTTTTTTATTTTCCAATACCCTGTCAGATCCACATCTGGAAGGAACTTAGACCACTGACAGAAAACAATCAGTAAGGGCAGGGTGTGCATACATGTGTTTGGTGTGCATACAGATAGGTACCTATGTGCTCGCCAGTGCCCACAAACATGTAAGTATGGGCCACAGTGTGAATGCTATGGGAGAACTAGAGGTGAAGTATTTCTGTTGTGCAAAGTAAAGTCTGTGTTCAACATTTTGATCACTGACAGCAGGGGATGCTGGACAGAGCTTTCTGAACCAATGAGATGTCCAGCCTGGTCACAAAGGCTAGCCACGATGCTTGACTCATAAATAAATGATGAGTTCCCCAGGGCCATCGCTATTGTCATCGCCTGGCCAATCGCAGCACACAGTGTCCGAGGAGAGGCGGTGGCTGCTGGAAGTGAAGCAGGAAAGAGAGCCTGGGTCCATGCTTCAGGCAGAGCCCAGGTGTGATGGCTGAGTAGTGCAGACCATGCTTCAAGGCAGGAGTTTTATGGTGTGGGAAGGGGCTGGAACTGTGAGTCCAGTGTAGCACAGGTGACAGTGACACTTCCAAAGCTTCCAGGCTTTTGGAGATAAGCCTGGGTTTGTGCATGTGATAGGGAAGTGATGGAACTGGACAAGTAGCAGAAGAAAAGGAGGGCCAGTGGGCATCCTACATCCCGAGGTCCAGGCTGGGGAGCTGTCCCTTGGCCTGAAAGTAAATAATACACCTCTGTTCATCTCTCGAAATGTTTCACAGGGCAGCCTTCTAAAACCTCTTCACATTTGAGAACACTGACAGACGACCAGATGACGGCAACTGTGTAGAAGGGCCAGGCTGTGGTCAAGGTTGGGGGTGGACCTTCTCAAGGACCACACTTCAAAGAAGGAGCCAGCAAAATCTTAGGCTATTTTCAGGATACCCCCAGGATAGGCTCAGGCTCTTGCACTCCTGAGGTTCAGACTCTAATGCCTCCACCCCAGTTCATCTTTCTTCTGCACTCCAGAAAGTGTGTGAGGCCTGGTGTCCCCCTTATCCCTGCTTCCCTAACTCACTCACCCTTTGCCTGCCCTGTAGCACCAGCTTCCTCAGGAAGTACACCTCACAGGCTTCCTTTACCCACCACAACTTCCCTGAGGGCACATCAGAAGGGCCTGGCTATACTGCAAAGGTGATTAAGCCCCTTTCTGGCTTAATCCTTGCTTCACGCCCCCCCATACACAGTTCACCACTCCTATTACCTGCCCCTCTTCCTTTCTACGTCCCTAATGTTAGCCCCAGGCTCTCTTTGGATGCTCCCAAATTCTCTCTCTCTCTCTCTCTCTCTCTCTCTCTCTCTCTCTCTCTCTCTCTCTCTCTCTCTCTCTCCTCTCT